TGTCGGGCCAATGTGCCAATATTCCTGGAAAGAACGTAGAAGTTATGAAGAAATACTTCAACAGAACAGATTGAATAAAAATGTAATCATATGATAAATTAATTTGCATGCAGTTAAGGAAAGTAAGAAAGGAAAAGCTCATCTCTGTGCAAGTGGCAAAGAAATTAGTACAGTTGCAAATGAGGGCGAGCATAGCCAAACAATATCATTGACACAGGACGCTGCAATCAAGCAAATTATGGATAGAAGCAGAGAAGTCCTAGAACCAAATTGCAGAGCTGATGATCTCTAATTTTTACCTAGAGAATGCAAATTGCCCAGCTGATGATCTCTAATTTTCTGCTTACTAAATTTCTAGGCTTTTTCTTCTTAAAACAATGAAAATGAAAATCATAATTTTCCCATGAAACAGATGATTTTATCATTTTATTTTCGGCGTCAATACTTCATGATGAAGGCTGCACTTATGTGGATCATTAGTGACTGCCCTGGGTATACAATGTTGTCTAGGTGGAGCACACATGATAAATTAGCTTGTCCCTATTGCATTGAAAATTCAAAGGCCTTTTGGTTGGAACACGGTTGGAAGACATCATTTTTTGATTGTCACCAATAGTTTTTGCCATCGGATCATCCATTTAGGAGAAACAAGAATGATTTCATGAAGGGTCATACATAGAATGGAACAATGCCAGCGAGATTGTCAGATGATGAGATGCATAGTCGCATCCATTGGCTACCTGATATACTATTTGGTAAGCCACCTCAGAAATAGGAAATCCACGGATTTGGTGAAGTGCACAACTGGGTTAAAAAGATCATCTTTTAAGAATTACCATATTGACACACAAACTTGATTCGACACAATTTAAATGTCGTGCATTGTGAGAAAAACATTTTTGACAATATGCTTCATACAATAATGGATGACCCTATGACAAAGGATAACATAAATGCAAGAATTGATTTGGAATTGTATTGTAAAAGGAAAAGTTTGCACATACAGAAAATAGGAGTGAATTCGGGTAAAAAACCAAAGGCCACTTATTTTCTTAGTAGGGATCAAAGAAAATCAATATGCTAATGGTTGAAGGAACTTAAATTTCCTAATGCATTTGCCTCCAATATATCTTGGTGTATCAATATACAAGAGGCATGATTATTCGGTATGAAAAGTCACAACTGTCACATTTTCATGCAAAGTCTTATACCGATTGCATTTCGTGATTTATTACCAAAACAAGTTTGGGAGCCACTTGTTGAGATTAGTGAGTTCTTTAGGGCCTTGTGTGCTCTTCTAATTCAAGTCAATGAGATGGCAATATGGCAAGAGAAGATAGTAGAATCATTTGTAAGCTAGAGCGAATCTTTCCACCTTCATTCTTTGATAATATGGAGCATCTTGCAATCCACCTTTCATAAGAGGCTCATGTAGGAGGACCGGTGCAATTTCAATGGATGTATCCATTTGAGAGGTAAATATAATTAATGTATAATGTATTAGAATAAATATAACTCCATATATATATATTTCATTGCATTGAATTAGAATACCAATTTGGTACTTCAACTTTCAATTTTATATCAAAGCTACCATTGAACTTAAAAAATAATTCTAAATGGTCCTTTCAAGGACCATTTTAGAACTGTGTAAACTTTGATGGTATATTTGATACAAAATTAAAAGTTGAGGTATCAAATTAGTATTTTAACCATAACTTAAGTATGTAATAATTCTTAGTGAATCAGGCCAATGCATTGTCTTAAGTTGATGATGAAAAACAAAGCACGTCTCGAAGCATCCATATGTGAAAGTTACATAATGTCTGAGATCACAAATTTTATCTCTTGTTACTTTGATGGTGGAGTACATAGTACAATTGATCATCCCCCTAGGAATATTGTTGTTGGATTTGATGATATTAGTGACCTATCCATCTTTAAATGTGTTGGAAAACCTATTGGTTCCAAAATTGGAAGACATTGCTTGACAGTAGAGGAACACAAAAGCTGTTTCATATTATGTGTTAATGAATTACGGAGAATTGCGGGGATGGGTCAGGTAAAAACCCTAAACTCTAATATCTTTAATTTGTTATATTAAGGTTCATTGAAATTAAAATACTAACAATATATGAAAAACTATTATCATATTTTTCTAGTTTATTTGAGAGAGAACAATGTCAAAATATGAATCCTCAACAAATTCAAGCAAAACGAGAGAGAGACCTGGTGCCCTGGTTTGAACAAGCCGTGAGTATTTAATAATATGACTATTCAATTCCTTAACGTATGTTATTTCTCTTCAAATGCATCTAACATTTTCTTCTTCCATTTGTATATTTTAGGTAACTAATAGTTAGTTCATTAATGTCCATGAGAAGGCTTAATTCAATTTTTAGTCTATTAACTATAAACTTAATTTCATTTTAGTTTAGAAAGTTTATTTTCTTTCTAAATAGTTTATAAACTTTGAAAATATTTCAAAATAGTCTACCAGTATAAAATTTTGTTAGATTTAATGGAAAGAATAGTCCTTTAAGTTTTTAAAAAGTGACACTATAATCCTAATAAAATATGATGACTTAAGAAATATTTTATAGAGATAGATTAGTTAAAATTTGTAAAAAAACTTGAGCAACGAGTTTGTTTTACAAGGCAGATTATATATAGTCTGTCCTTAAAAATTATTTAAATGTTCCTGAAAAATAATATTAAAATAAAATTAAGGGCATTTAAACAATTTTATAAGATAGATTACATACAGTTCGCTCTGTAAAATAGTTTTTTGAAGAATACAGTTATTAAGATAAGATTAAAAACTATTTTTACTGTGAATATAAATTTAAGTACTAAAAAATAAAAAAATATATAGTTAGAGGACTAAATATTTTCTTATAGAATAAGAAAATTCCATTAAAGACAATGGACATTTCTATTAAAGATAATGGATTAGATGAAATTGAAATAAATGTGACAGATAATAGACAAGATTGGAAGAATTTAAAGATAATAAATGAAACTAAAAAAATATGAAAGTTAATAGATGATTTGTTAAATTAACCCCCACGAGCATATCAAAGGCTTATCGAGTGGTCCAAAAAATTATGCTTCCTACTATAATGGATATATTGTCAATAAATTCTGATTTTACATGCCTCTATGGTAGAAATAAGCGAACAATGAATTATGGTGTCTGTGTTGTGGTACTAAATTAGATAATAATTTTTATGGTGTGCTTCAAGAAATAATTTAGATTGAGTACTATGAATCGATCCATCAACAGGGCAGTTGTTTTATTCAAATGTGATTGGTACAAGATTCCTCCTGCTCAAGGGGTTCAAATGGATCAAAAATATCAATTGGTTATTAATCCCAAAAGATACCTTCGATCTTATGAGCTTTTCATTTTTGCTAGTCAAGCAAGGCGGGTTTATTACATACTATACCCATTTATTAATCATGAAAGAAGGGGATGGATTGTTGCACTTAAAATTAAGGCTAAAAGCATCATTGAGGCTCTTGAGAATAAAGATGACCAATAAGAAGGATTGGCACCATATTTCCAAGACGATGAGCCTTATATTCCTCAACCAATAAATATTGATGACATTGCTTATGAACCTGTCCAATATTCTGATGAAAGGTTTATTGAAACACATGAAGAAGCTGATGTTGGGGAGGGGATTGGGGAAGAGAATTAAGAAGGAGAATATGAAAATTTTGAGACATTAGAAGAAGAAAACATAGGAACATATGTTGAGGAGAATAATAGTAGTGATGAGTAGGCAATAATATTTATAGAAACTTATTGTTATATTTAGGGTTAATATTTGCTTGTTTTTGCTTTTATAATTATATTAGTTGTATTATACGTTATTTAATTTAAAATTGTATAATGTTATTGTTACTTTTAAGTTTATATTTACTTATTTGTATTTCTATAATTGTATTAGTTGGAATAAAATTTATATGTTTATGTTTTGTTATTGTTAATTTTATTATTTTTTGTTAATATTTATATAATTGTTTTTATTTATATTAGTTATACCATATGTTATTCAACTAAAATATAATTTTATTTTTATTTGCTTATCTATAGAAATTAAAAGTATTTTAATTTTTATTGTGATTTTAATAGTAATCTATTGCATTTAAATTAATTTATTAATGATTTTTTTTTATTTGTTATATTTTTTTATAGTGGATTGTTGTAGTTCTTGTTGCGTGGATATTGTAGATTCCACTCAACTGTTGCAACGGCCAAACTCGTTTGAGCCCTAGAGGCGAGTTCAAGAGGAGGATCCTACTAATGTGATTCTAGCGACTCCAGCTTCAGATGCTATTATACAGGTTGAGTCTCCTAGTGATGAGGAGATAAATGTGGCTAACCCCAGCAGAGACAAGGATGGGGCAAGCTAAGCCCCTGCAGATGCCTACAAATGGGACAAAGATCCTATTAGAGCTAGATGAGTAAGGTGGTTTGCCACAAAAGGTCAAATGACAGATTGTGATTCAATTGTTGGAGAATCTCCCAGAAGCTTACACATCGTGGGGACAGGTCCTTGCTGAGCATCGGGATATGTATTGGAATATATTTTGTGTATGCCCTAAATACTTAGTTTCTATCTATAAATTAGATCTTTTCAATCTCTATCTTCAAATTTTAACTAGTTTGAATTTTTTTGGTTATTATCATAATAATTTTTTTATTAAATTAATTATTTATTTATATTTCGATTTTCTTCAACAAACGTATCAATGGGACCCTGCAATTCATAAGAAGGTAAATGATTTGTGGAATATGACAGCAAGGATCAAGTTCAAGCATGCAATTAGTGAGTTGAAAGTTAAGTGTGCAAAGAAAAACTTTCGAGTTAAGCCTTTAGATATGAATCCAGAGTCATGGGCGAGGCTTGTTCATTTATGGACTAAGGTAATGGAGTACCTTCATGTGTTTATTATTATTTTTTTAATTTTCAATTGTAATGCTTAATGTTTTTATCATATTACTAATTAAGAAAATATGTGTGTTCACCAATTTTACAAGATGAGGGTTATTTGAGAAGATCAAATTCTGCAAAGACAAATCAAGCAAAAGGACCGAGGCTGATGCACACCAATGGTTTAACAGACGTCAATGTTTATAGGAAAAAAATGATATAAAAGTTAATATATTTTTAATGAATAATTAATGAACTATGATTTATAATTTTTTTATATTGATTTTAATATTTGGTCTTCCTTTTTTTTTTTTTTTTTCTGATGGCATCTCTCTAGATGAATGATGAATAGCAGTTTTGCACAAATTTTTATTTTTTTTTTTTTTTTTTTTACAACAATAGGCAAACCTTGAGGGTCATTCACCGACATTTCTTGAGCTCTACACCAATAGAAGGCAACACAAAGCAAAAGGAAAAGAGCAACTGCCTGTATATTGTAATGATGAGGCTCAAGAAATTGGCGTAAGTATTTACTAATATGATTTATCAAATTTAAGCTTGAATTTTGAATAGTTGAAGAAGTTTATTCAATAGAAAAAACTACTAATTATATAATTCTTGTTGAAGGTGTCACGGCCCAGAACCCAAATCCCAGGCGTAACAAACGCCGTACACTTGTAAGAGGGTCCCACAAATGCGCAAGGCTCAGAATTTTATCATATCACAATCTGATACCATAAAATATGAAGATAAAATTATAAAATTTGCTCTAATATCATAAAATCTCCAAATAAAGTCTAGCTTACAAGATCGTGATTTATATCTAAAATCTATGTCCAATTTACAAGATGGCTAGCCTTCTAACTCGTCACTCCCCTCGTTTTTCCCCATCCTTGACTTCGTTTCCTGAAATGGTGGACAAGGAAAAATTATGAGATAGCTCAGTAAGTAAATATGGATAGCCATTAATTAAACTTATAGCATGCCAACAAATATAATCACGAAAAACGGATACAATACGAGAACGAAATAGACCTCTCCTCTATAGGTCATGGCCAGTGTTATAAACCTCCCACTGGCAGGCACACGATTTACTAGTATATAATCCCACTAGCAGGATAACAGAAACGAACCGGTTCTTTCAATAACATGTCGACATGTGCTAGCATTTATAAACCTCCCGCTAGCGGACACACGAATAACATGAACATATCGGAGACAAAACCAGGCAAGATTTCCAGCAAAATCCATAATTCACAATCAATCTCAAATTTCAGAAATAAACCGAAAAATTTCCATGCGGGCATGGATTTAAAAGAAAAATCAGAATTTACAAAATTCTCAATTCATCAGGGCAGTTAAGTAAATTCCAAGTAGGCATGCTCAAATCAATAAAAAGAATAATAATTTCATTTCAAATCGATCATACTTGTGTAAAACGGGTTTAGTCCCACCATCACTTCAAAATCAAGCTAAAATGTGCTTTAAAATCGGAGGGCGTTACCATAATTTACTTACCTCAAATCTGTAATACCGAAGACTCAATCCACTTACTAAAATGCCCCAAGAATCAAGAACCTAACCAAATATTCCAAAATTAATACCGCACTATCACAAATTCAAAGTGAAATCATCATTAGGATTACCCTTAATCACGATGCTATTTTTGTCGGTCTCCACATGACCGGACATCTCCAAATTTGTTCTCAATATAACTATACATTTAAACCCTCCTATTATTGGCCATTAGTGCATGAATAGTACCCATGAACAGTATCCGTGAATAGCACCATGAACAGTAATCACGCACTGAACAGTAACTGCAACTTCCAAAAATTGGCAACACCATAGCTAATCTCATGGGATTTTCTCCAAAAATCACAACAGCCAAAATAAACTAATTTTCTACATGAATTAAGCTAAATCATGGTCTAATTACTATCAAATTTCTCCCTTATTTCCAACATATTTTCGGACAACATAGGCAGCAATTAGATGGCTAAATTTCAGCAATTAAATGGGTAAAATTTGGACTTAGAGAAGCTGCCACATACCACAATTTTCCAGCAAAATCGAAACTGCAGTTTAGGGAAGAGCCGGCGGGAAGTGCAGGGGAAAATTCGGGAAATCTACCCAAAAATTGGAGAAACCAAGAGAAATCAAAGTTAACCCAAGCCAATTCAAGGAAGAACAAAGGAATTAGTGGCTGTTTCTTACCCAAAAATCAGAGAAATTCGCACCCACTCCAAGAGCAGCAGGCGGTGAAGACAGAGCAGAGCAAATCTGGAATTTCTGGGTTGAGAGAGAGAGTTCTAAGTCCTAAAGCTTGTTATTGAGCAAGAAAAGAAAGGAGAAATCACCAAGCTTTACTGGTTTTTCTTCAAGGGAGGGCTGCTGCCGGCAGCTTACTTCTTGTTCAGCTACAAGGGAGAAAAAGGAAGAGCAGAAACGCGAAATGGTTGGGGAAGAAAGAAGGAAAAAAATAGTGGATCCTTATCCAATCCTTTTCTCTTTTAAGTCCCTTCAGTTAGAAATTTTGGCTATCAAGTCCCAGAATAATATTTCCTCACAATCAAGTCCTTAATTAAGTGCTAAAATATCACAAAATTTTGGGATATTACAAAAGGGTAAGGTGAATGGGTTTTATTATTCTTTATGTAATACCCCAAAATTTTCTAAGATAAATAAGTAAGTTAGGGACTTGATTGTGAGAAAAGATTGTTTTGGGGCCTCATATGAATATTTCAAAAGTTGAGGGACTTAAAGAGGGAAAGATTTTGGATAAGGATGACTTCTTTTCTTTTTCTCTTTCTTTCTTTCTTTTCTTCCCAGCCTTGCCCGATTCTGCTCTTCTTCTCCTTTCTTCCCGCTGCAGCCACTCGAAAGAAAAAAAAAAAGGGGAACCCAGCCATGCCTTTGAGAAACCGGTGAGATAAGCTTGGTTTTCTCCTTCTTTCTTGTCCAATAACCTGATTTGGAACCCAGAAATCTTTCCCCCTTGCTGGAAATCCAGATCTGCTCTGCTCTATCTTCCTCACCGCCGGCTGCCCTTGATTTTGGGTGAATTCTGGGCTGTTTCAGTAAGAAATAGCCATTAAATTCTCTGTTTTTCCTTGAATTAGCTTGGGTTCATGTTAAATCTAGTGTTTCTCCAGATTTTGGGTGAACCCGTGAGCTTTCCCTGCAGCTTGCCGCCGGCCTCTTTCCCCCTATAGCTCCGGTTTCTACAGCTGGAGAATTATGGTATGTGGCAGCTTCTCTAAGTGCAAGTTTAGCCATTTAATTGCTGCCCTTTGTGTCCGAAATTCTGGATTAATTAGGGGAGAAAATTGATAGTAATTAGACCATGATTTAGCTTGATTCAAGTGAATTTATGTGATTGAGTGTTAATTGATTGCTGTGATTTTTGGAGTGAAAATCCCGTGAGATTAGCTAGTGTTTTGGCCAATTTGTGGAAGTAGAGTTACTGTTCATGTCGGGGTCACTATTCACCGGTTACTGTTCACACCCCAAGGGCCAACATTTAACGAGAATTTAAATGATTAGTTTGTGATATGAGAACGAATTTGGAGATGTCCGATCATGTGGAAAGTGATAGAAATAGCATTGTGATTAGGAATGATCCTAATGATGATTT